TTCCCAGACCTATAAGAACTCTCCCATTTGACACCAACATCAAACTCCCATGTTCCCAAAAGGCAACAGTGTTTCCCTCCATTTCATGCTGGAGCTTGGCACAACTTAGGTGGCTGATCCTCGTTTTCCCACATCTTCCAACAGTACAAAAAAATCTGAATTTATTTCTCTCCAGGGTGACAGTCTGCCTTTCCATCTGTGAACTGGCCCTCGGCATGGCCACTCCTCATACAAGAGTGTTTTTGCATGTTAGCCTTGTAACATGTTGCTGAAACAAACCAAGTAAAGCTGCCAGGTGGATAATTAATTAGATAAGCCCAGAGACACGGGCAGGAACAAACGCTTTTAAAGAGCAAAATGTGTCCCCTGAATCACTGGCTGGCCATTTCAAACGCGCACGTGCAGAGGCCAGGGCCAAGCTCCGTAACAGCGTAGTAGGTAATCTCAGAGGGGAACTACATGCAGGTCCGGGTCGTCTCCTCGGGAGGCTGCTGGCCTGTGCCAGTTGCCAGTGGGAGGAGAGACTGAGATTCCCTCACGAAAGCAGGTCTGCGTCAGCACCTACGTCGCACGTGGCTCCCTGCTGCTAATCCCTGGACAGCTGAAACCTACCCTGGCTCCACATGCTGACACCCGGCCCCCGGGACAGCAGGTGCCCTTCCCCTCTGCAGCTGAGGCTCCCACCCACGCCCGGGGAATGAAGGAGGGATGACCAGAAAAGGCTGCAGCAAGACACTCCAGCCTGGGGTTTCTCCAGCCAGAGGCATCTGCTGTAATCCCAGAGCCAAACCCGAAGGCAGATGCCATCAAGGCAGTTGGTCAGGGTGGTGCCACTACAAAATAAACTGCCCAAAGGGCAGCACTGCTAGGATAGCATCAGGGCAGTATGAAGAACGGAAGAGTGAAGTTGGTTCCTGCTGGAGCTGCAGGAACTGGCTCAAACCAGAGTCCTGCTCTGGGGATCACCAGCATCCCCTCCTCCCTCTACCCCGTGCCTAAAAAGGAGGTCTTTAATAGCAGCAAAAGAGCCACTGCACAGCTGAGATGCCCTGGGATGTTACTGCAGCCAGCCTTCCTCCCCTGTCTGCATAGCATGGCTGCCTGACAGCTGCTGGGAAAGTGAGAACACAAAAAGCCTTTGTACCAATACCAAAACACACAATTCAGGCTCGGTTCTGGTTCTGCCCAGCCTGACACTCAACTTCACCACCAGTGCAACTCCCTGGGATGCTGACCCTCCACCCGCATCCCATATTTCACTTCTCTTTACAGACTTGCAGGAAAAGCATCCAGCAGCTTTATCTGTCTCTAAAGCATTTTCTCAAGGGAATATTTCACCCACCTGATGCTTGTTGAATTTCACATATTCAAACTTTTCCCCTTTAGGTGAATCCAGGAACCCACCAGTAAGAGATTAATGAACTGCCCAGAATGCGCAGAATGAGGGTGAGAGCAAGGAGTTAAGCCTCTGCACAAAAAAAAATGCAAGGAAAACACATTGGCAAAAATCTTTCAGAACAGCCACAGGGAAGCTTTTCGGTTCAACGTCAAACATATTTAACTGCATGCAGCACTAGATGTCATCAGCTTTAGCAGTCTGGAGAAAACGTATTAGAGGGTATAGGAATGGACAACGCTATGGGCCCTGCTCCTGGTGCACTTCAGTATCTGCAGGACAGTAAGTCTGGATGAGCGTGCGAAGCAGCGCACAGACCTCGCCACCGTGCACACAACCCCTCGTCCAGCCAAGGCTGCGTGCACCCACCTCTGCCCGTCTGCTGCCCCACCTACATCAAACACAAACACCCTGCAGCAATTGTCAAAGCTCACCCCGGCATCAACTACACCGGCACGAAACAGAAATAGCTCTACTGCCTTCGGTGGTCTCGCTGGATCGCTGTTGCATTAGGACTAGCTTCTCCAAGAAAAACCCCACACCGTTGGTAGAATAAGATTATAAATACACTGCAAGGTCAGAATGGGGCCCAGTGACATTTTATCAACTGGAAAACTCAGCCCACAGTCACCACGTTTAAAAGGTCACCTTGCTCCAGGTCTTAAAAGGAGTATCCTGCATACATCAAAGTCACGTTACAATAATTTGTGTCCTACAGACAGATTCTTGCAGAAGCCCATTGTATTTATCATTCTGTGTAACTGAAAAAGCAGTATCTTTTATTAACACCTATGAAGCTTTCAAACATCACCACTATTTTTCCCCCTCATTATGAAAGGGTTTTCTCTCTGCTCCCCGAGTGCCTTTCTATTAAGTCCACACAAAGCTTTGGTGGCCACCTGCCACACATACACACTTCTGCCATGAGGTCTGAGAAGTTGCAATTTAATCTCATTAAACACTAGGTAGGAGTAAAAGAATCTTTTGAGGATGGAAATTACCCACCATCAAATAACGCAGCAACAACCGCTGTGGAAATTAACCTTTAGGTACAGGTTGCTTCTGCTAAGTGACTAGTTAATGAGAGTCCCCACCCGAGATGAAACATGCAGCAAATGGGCTGGAAAGGCACGTCAGATCTTCCTCTCCATCCATGCAACACTATTATTTCTTTTCCTTTCGGCTCTGCCCAAGGAGAGCTGTATTGTGGCAAACAAAAGGCAACGACACAGCAATGCCGCAGTTGTAATCACACTTTTGAGCTGGGACTGTAACTGCAGGATAGAGAGTCAGGGAGTAAATTACATGCCACAAAGCACAAGCAGCGCAGAGCAGGAGAGGGCAAAAGCAGCTGTAACGAAAGCTCGGTGGCCTCCCGATCCCAGCTCTTCATGTAAAGCAAAGCAGCAAAAAAAAACAGCACTGAGGGATGCTGATCTCCTTGGAGATCACACAAGAGGGACACTAATCATCTAGCTGGCCACCTCTTGCCCCAGTGTCCCTGCTCTTTCCCCCCCTCCCAGGAAATGCACAAGGACAATACCTGGAGCTCCACCAGGGTCTCACAGGAATGGGTTGGTATGGCAAGTCCCCATCCCTGAGAGACTCCCAAACCCTGCCCACGCTGCCTCTCAGCTCTTCTGCAGCCTCATGCTAGTCCTTCAGTCTCAATTTCTTCCACTCCACAGAGACACTAATGCCTGCCAGCCAGGGCTGCGTGTATTAGGCAACTGATGAATTCTGCTCTCGTACCCCAGGGGCTGATTTTGGAAGAAACAGGTTCGGGTCAAAAGAGTGTGAGAAGAATTGGGTCTGAAGCATACAACATGATTTGGGGGTGACAGGCCACTGGCGTAAATCAGTATGGCTCTATTAACAAGTAGGCTTTCTTGAGCACACCAATACTGTGAGCAGCCTGTAGAAAGGGCCAGATTTCCCATGCCAGCACACAGCTCCTACAGATCTGCAAGTCGACACAAGCACACCATCTTCTGAGCCACAAGTTGTGCTTCCTATAGTCCCAGCACTTCCACCACCCAGTCTCACACACATCCTAGCTTGGGTATTGCAGAGACTTTCAGATCCCAGACACAAATCCAAGCAAGGCTTGGGACACAAAAACTACACTTTGGCCACCACCATGCCCTCCTTGGGCAGCAGGGCAAACAAGGAGTAGCATCCTTAGTCAGTTCAAAAGACAAGGGGAGAATTAGTCAAGGTGTTGGCTGAGTCAACCCCTTAGCTTTAAAACTCTGGAGCAGAAAGCATCTGGATGGGTTTTCTTTAAATCTGCTCACACAATGACTCAACCAATGCCCTTCTGTGGTTTGTTTGGGTTCGTTTTTTTTTTTTTTCCCACCTCTTGGTGAACTCTAACATCAAAAAAGTCTCACAAAGAAGTCCCAGCATTTTCCTCCCAAGTAAAGTCCCTTCCCCACATAGATGTCCCACTGCGGAGGCACAGAGCAGTTCCCAGCTAGAAGAAAGACTTGAAGCCCTTCACGTTGTTTTATTTGTCAGCAGCAACTTTTAGAAAAAACGTTCTCTTGCATTTTTTATTTTATCATTAATAAATAATGGAAGCAGGATCTTTCCGTGTGCCAGCACTATGGCTTCAGTCTTCGCATATTTCTGGAAATGGGTCTTAGCAGCTGATAGCACCTGCCAGATAGCAGCTGGCTCTGCTGGCTAGGTGAGCTCAGGCTACTTGCCACCAGCAGTTTTCCCACCACTGCTAGGAAACACAGCCAGTTGAATAGGAGGCAAGGGGACACACTGCAAGGACCTCAGCCCACCTGCTTCTCAACCAGCTTCATTGGGAGTTTAGCTGGGGGAAAAAAACCTGATGCCTTTGCCAAGCTGACAGGCAGCAACTGTGCAAAGGGTGTACTAACAGCAGGTGAGGAGATGAGTGCCACCCCTGCACCATGCCCTCTCCCTGCAGCACCGACAGGGACCCAGACCTGCAGATACACACCCAGGGGCAGGGGACATGGGGAGACCCTCCTCCTCACAGCCCTGAAGGAAAACAGCCCAAACGTAAGTCAGTGCAGCGAGGCCCTGCAGGGCCCACAGCAGCTTGAAACAAACCAAGACATGCGCAGGTTTCGGATGTAAATGCTGGCATCATTTGACCACACCAGCCTGACAGTGCTGATGCCCAAGGAGGTCTAAGCACCCAGCTGTCCCAGTGCCCAGACTCACAAGTGCGTCTCCTCCAGCTGCAGGAAGACCCAGCACCATGCCTGACACCTTCTGGTGTCTCCACTACAAGTCCCACTCTGCCTTGCAAACCAAAGACAAAAAAGGGAAAGCCAGATGAACCTGATATTGAGCAAATGAGTGCCTATCACATCACTTGTGCTAATCAGTTTGTTATTTATTAGTTTGAAATTCTCCCTTGTTTAACTCAGACAAGATGACATCGCAGTGCTTCACGTCTTAAGAGCCCAACAAAGGTGTTTTTAGCTGAAGTCTGGTCAAGAGGATCACAGAAAGCCACAGGGTGTCTCGTCCACTCCTCTCCTGCCGCTCACAAGGGCTCGGGAAGCGTGAGGAGGCACCCTGAGCCATCATGGCAGGCTGTGCCACTGGGCATGAGCAAGCTGGAGGGGATGAGAGCAGGCTGAGAGGAACAAGGAGGCAGCTTTGTTTACACTAGCAATGCTGAAGCCGCTAGCTCAGAGTGAGGAGGTGGAGCAGGAGGAAAATAAACCTCATACTTCAAAACTGTCAGATAAGGCTTCAGTAAAAACAGAAAAACGTTTTTCTGAGCAACCAAGCAACTGCTCGCAACATCAGAGGGCCTCCGACCACTGGCTGTAAACACTTGGAGAAGTTTCCAACCACAGCCCGGAGTCAGATGGCATTTCTCACAGACTCCAGGAGTACTGAGATCCCAGGTTTGGGATTGCTTACTATGAGGCAGAGTATTACTGAGCCCACATCTGGATGTCATCTGCATGGAGAGGCCAGCTTCTCCCTGGCAGCTCCAGTGCCCTCAAAGAAACAGCTCAAGCAGCTGGCTCAGCCTCCCAAAGCAGGACTGTCAGGTCATCATGGCTCATTTTGTTCTCCAGCGTCTGGCTGCAGTCTGAGCTGACTGGCTTAAGTTTAGAGTGTGACAATAGAAGAAATTAAAAGCTCTCTCCCAGCTCTTCCTGGCTACCAGAGGGGCTTTGAAGCAGGACTCTTCTTGCCCATACTTCAGTTAGCAAGTGGGTCAAGCTGTGGACAAGTACGCAGGAGGCAAAGAGGGGCACTGCGGGGACATCGATATCCTGAAATGACTGTGGCAAGAAACTCCCCACTACTGAAAACACTCACTTCCAGCCCAGGAATGTCTCTGCTAGGCAGGAGGAGCAGGATGGGCCCAGGTCTCCAGCAACGATAAACATCATCCACTGATTAAATGCACAGAAGGCACAGCGCAGAAGCTATTCGATCACGTCTCCCTCCTGAGGCACTTCTGCTCTCCTCTTCCTTGTTTAATGATATTATTGGATGAGAGGAGGCCTAATGCACTGCGTGGGTCTGACTGTCACCTCACATGAACTCGGAGAGGCACACTGAAGGCAACAGCAGTGAGTTATGCTCACTCGACACAGACATGCTCTGCGAGACTCCCTGAGGACGGACGCACTGTGCCACTTCCCTCTCCCCCTCTGATACTTTGCTCTCCCCACTTAATAAAGTGAATACAGCATGGATAAAATTCCCTTGGCACTTTTTTGGTTTACTATTCCCTTTGTTGAGCACAAGTCCTTTCCATCCTTGTTGAGAAAGAACGGGCTGAACACACCATCACTCAGCTGATTTACACCTAAACTGAGAAATGCTCTGGGTAAGACAGCAGGAGAAATGCCTCTGCTTAGGCACTGACAAGCAGACCACATGAGCAGAGACACAAAGCCAGTTCAGCCAGCTACACAGAGAAGAGGAGCCGTGCAGACTGCTGCAAAATAATATTGGAAGATATGTATGATCTTTTGGTCATCTCACAGCCCCCGTTTCCTCGGTGAGTGCAGACAGGGTAGCTCAGTATTTTAACTCATTGCCTTATAAAAACATTTCAAGATCTAGTGCGAAGGCAATTAGGCAAAACTTAATTGTGCACCAAAAGGGATTACAGAAGCATTTTATAAGAAGTTGCTTAGTAAAAGGCAATTGCACGAGCCAGCAAGCAGCTCAGTTAAAACGACATCTCGCTAAGCTGCTCTGCACAAGTCAGCCTTTGACTGAAGGCTCACGCCGAGGGTCCGCTGTAGTGGGCTGTGCTCTTTTTGGTATCCAAGCAACACAGCAAAGCCTGCCAGCACACAAATTACAAGCAGTACTTTATTTCCAGAGACAGAGAAGGGAACCAGAGGTTAATACACACACGCAGGGATGCTCAGCTCAGGCACATGTGAAGACATTGGTTTGACACTCTGGAGAGGGTAAGCGCATCTCTTATCTGGTAACTGCCTGACCTTGGAAAGCAAGTCGCAGCTGCTGGACTCACCGTGTCCACATCCAGAGGGCAATGCTGAAGATCGAAATCTCACGGCTGAGAAAAATCAGCAAACTTCTCTGTGCGCTGTTACAAAGACGTCTCCCAAAAACCCACATGGTGCACAGGCAGCACGGCACCACAAGGTTCTGCATGGACACGGGCTTCGTACTGGTCACTTTGAAAAGCACACACATTCAGACAGCACATCCACTCACCTCTGCTACACTCTTTGTATCCCCACACCTCAAGCAAAATACTTCAGTTCTATATTGCATGGATCTTTTAAACTTTAACGCATCTGTTACTGGCACACCATCCCAGCAGATAGCCCCTGTTCTCACACAGGAGACTTCCCAGACAGCAAGTAGAAGTCATAGGAAGACAGGCCTGTCCCATACCTCCCCCTGCCTAAGCCTTCTCATGAGGTAATCTCAATTAAAAAAGTTTTCCATAAACATTTTTTTAAAAACAAGCATCTAGACTAGAGACAGAAAGATTCATCCAAACCTTAAAAGTCCAAAGAAACTTTAGATGACACCAAACAGTATAAACCATAGCTTTCAACTATCTTGCTTCTCTCACCACCCGAAGGAAAAAAGTGAACAATTCAGGTTTGAGGCAAGCAGAAAAAAAACTCTCTCCAAATGAAAATAAAACGGCCAAAACTCAGCAAGAATACTTCTACATTATAATGCTCATCTGTTCACCACTAATCACCCTTTGCTCGTGTATGTAGAATAATTGATTCAGTGCTAGAAATACAGCACTAGAAGCCACACTGACACTTCTAGTACTGCAGAGCAGTATCAACTTACCGTCATTTCAATCATTATTACCCCCATTCCTTTGGTCCCCAAATAGTGTGGGACACAACCCTGCCACAAGGTCAAGCACAACAGATCCACTGACATAATTTCTGTTTGTGGGAGGGCATTGGTTTGAGTCTCTTGCTGACATCAAGCCCCGGGACCCCCATCCCTCTCACTGCATGCAGATCCTCCCAGAATTTTGCAGGGGAAGCCCCGTCAGCCAGAGCCACCTTTCAGACTCAGACCTGAAGCTCATCCCTGGCACAGGGGGAGCCAAGCGCAGCCACAAGCAGCACCTGGTGCACACCACAGACCTCCTAGCACAGCAAGGGCCGCAGCCAGCATCAAGTCTCACACACCACACACAACACTTGCTCAGCCCACGTCCCCTTCCCACTCCCTCTCATGAGCCAACACCGGGCACTACCTGCCGGGCTCTGCCAGATGCTTCTCCCACGAGAGGGGGCAGCAGCAGCAAGCAAAACACCACTGAGATATGTCAGAAGCTGGTTTGCTTCGGGCTTTATTTTTGGTTGGGTTCTTGTTTTGTTTTAAATCAAACTTGATCAGTTGTGGCAAGATGTATCCGGCATACAATTATTCCTGTAACTCTGCCCTACCCTCCTCTAGTGTTTTAGGATGACAGGGGTTAGGTAACCAGTGAGAGCACAAGAGGGTCAAGAAGCAAGTCAGTCTCTAAATGAAAATAGTGTTGTGTGGGTTTTTTTTTTTTCTGAGACTGAATAGGAAGCAAGCATTATGTTAAGGTAAAGCTTAAATGTTTAACTATAATGCCCAAATGTTTCTGTACAGAGCACATCTGTGGGCTGAGGGACAAAAACTAACATGACTTTGCTGTGTAAACATTAGACAAACATAGGACAGAACTTGTGTTCCTTAGGTGTTATCAAGCTCTGACAATAACTGACAGGGAAACGCTAACAAAGAAAACAGCAATTGCGTAGACAGATACTTACCTGGGCACTTTGGGTCAGATCCTGACCTTATGCAGATTATCATGGCAGGAGGCAAAGTCAGCACAGCCAGAACATGACACTTGTGAACTGGGCACACAGCATCAAGCTCCTATCGACAAGCCTAGGCAATTCAGCAACTTGTTGATCAATACCATGGCAGTTCCCCAAGCTGCTGGCACTCACCTTCGGCTGCAATCATCTCAAACACTGTCTGGGAAGGGCAATGTATTAAACAGCACTGCAGTGGAAAAAGCCGCAGGAGTGTAAAAGGATACATCCCCAGGATAACTGCTTCAAGGCATTTGATAGGTAAGGACTCCCTGGTCATTTCTTTTGCTGTCTCCATTAACCTAGGATAGACACAAAAAGATTTTCAGTCCTTTCAGTTGGAGCAGTTGACAGGAATCAAAGGGTCCTCTCGTACACTGAGAGCCAGGTGCCTCCAGTTCTTATCTCAGCAAGCGCTGGTGAACTTGATTCTCCTCTTCGGTGACCCGCCAGAGCCCTGTTGACTTCTGGAGGATGACTGAAAAAAAAAAAAAATAAAAAATGGGTGTTCAGCATCCCCTTGCCTTCCAGCCTCTGAAGATGGGTTGGAGGAACACAGTCCTCTGCTTCATCAAGCAACTCCATGAGCATCACTTCAGAGGAGAAAGGATGGTCACATGATGGCCCCCTGAAAGCTACAAATGCCTCCATGAGCCTATAGCTATAGGTGCAAACAAGAATTTAATGCCTTTTTACCAAAGTCTACTCTGCAGAAAGTTCTACCAACACAGACACTTCACACCACTGCAAGCTGAGCTATCATCTTGCTGCTGCTCCTCACCTCCTGTGGAGCGGGAAAATGGTGAAAAACACAGGATTTCCTGCAGGAGTGCATAAAACTGTGCATGCTCAGGATCTTGCAAGTTCACAAAGTTTAGTTACTATCTGGACTCTACCTTTCGAGTAGAGTTATCTGACAGAGACAACACTGTGACAAGAAACAAGCAATCTATACTCAGCTTAGCTGAGAAAGCTGTCATGCCAGACTGACACCGCACCATCAACCAACCTCCTTCCACAAGATCCTGAAATCTTGGAAAGTTAGAAAAAAATAAAAATACTGGAAGGAGATTAAGAAAGGCCAGAAGAGCCATATTCAATGAAATACCATGAAAAAAAAAAGAAGCTAAAAACCAAACCTAAGGATGACTTCTATTTTGAAGTCTTCTCTATCTGTATCCTTTCCCTGAGAAGAGCTTTGTAAACAGACCCCTACTTTAAGGAAACACAACATTAAATTATAAAAATATTTTTATTAGAGGAGTTGATGAAAATATGCATCTGAAACCATTAGCATCTGTTTTTCCCACTTTCTAATTCACCCACCTCATGTATTTTAAACCTTGTATTAAGTGCAAATGGCAATACAGCTTCCACCACTATTACAGCCTGTCACAGCCATTCCGTGTCCCATTTAGCCAAGGCAGAAATTATCTTTTCATTTGTAAACAACCACCCTTTACACTCTGCCTGCAGTACAGAAGACAGATTAATGTTAGCCTGTCTCCTAAATGCTCACAATTGGCCACAGAAACCCCACTGCTGGAAGCAGGGAGCAGCTCTGGCGAGGGCACACAATGGGGCCCCTTCATTCCCCATAGTGGTTCCTCAGTGCTGGTCACAGCAGGAGCTGCTGCAAAGCCCCATCTCCATCCAGAGAAGTATTACATACGGATGATACATGGGAGATACCCACCAATAAGATGATTGACTGAAATTCCTGTCTTCTAACTC